TGCATCATAACTTGCCGACGGCGTTTCCCAGGGAAGAAAAGTTGATGAGTAAACACCCAGGAGGTGCAGCCCCAGGGCTTACAGGACTAGGAGAGGCAGGCAGGGCCAGTCTCCAGGCCACACACTTGCAGAGGCAGATGTCACTCCATCAGTAACAAATGGTTGCCCTGTTTCCCTTCCCAGCCAGGGCTGGCTTCCTCAGGAGGGGAATGTGCGGCAGCTCCTGTGTGCAGATCCCTACTGCCAAACCTGCAATGCCATGGCTCTGGAGATTCAGCAGTTGGTGGTGGGTGAGAACACCTTGGTCTCTCCCACTTCAACCCGGCCATCGCAGGGCTCTTCTTGTCTAGAGATTTTGTCCACATCTAATGTGTCTTTTGAGCAGAGTCTGGAGCATCGTTCCCCACACTTCAAAGGCCTTTCAGTTCCATCTGCAACCCTCACAGTGTCACAGAAATCCTTAACCCAGTCAGCTGCCCAGTCAACTGGTGCGGTCAGCATCCATGATTACTCGGCTGAACACCTCAAGCTAAGGCAGGGTTTTCAAGGGCCAGAGGTACCCAGGGGCCCAGAGACTATGTTTTCATCAAGGATTGAGGAACCTGTGGTTTCCGTGAACCTGCAGGAGATGATGCAGAACAACCCCAGCCTTGTCTGTGGAAACCAAGGCCAACAGCCTGTGAATTCTCAGGTCTCTCTGCTGACCCTGAGCCAAGAAATCACTACCCTGACACATCCTATGGCCTTGCAAATGGTAACTGTCCTTGCTGCCCACCTGCCATTCCTCAATCCTGAAGTCCTGAGGCTTCTTGAGGTACATGTTAAAAAATGGATGCATTTCCAGAGGTGGGGGCTCCCCGACGTGTGGAAGATTCCCTGAGGCAGTTTATGCCAAATCCGCCATTATCTTACCAACCTGTACATAATCAACCGGTTTCTCAGTTCTCTGTTGAGACGTTTGGAAACATTTCATACCAGAACTGGGGTTCATGTATGGCAGGCCAGCCTACTCAGGCCTTCTGGGTTTCTGAATGGTCCATTATAGACCCAAAACAAAGACACTACTACCAGCAAGCCCCGAACCATATGGCTCTAGCCTTGTCCTCTCCAGCCCTTAAAGAATTAAGTGGCCTCTATCTAATGCCTGGGAAACAGTCTAATGATTCAGTGGCCCATGTGCAGCAGGAATACAGCCAGCTATTCTGTGGCCTCCCTTCACTGCACAGTGAGTCCTTGGTTAACACCTTCTTGGGTTCTCAAGGCCTCTCCATGAATGAGAGCATGTCCAAACCCCCTTTGAATGATCCTTTTCTCTTCAAGGATCTCTCCTTCCTCCCTCTGCTGCCTAAAAATCCACCCCAATCAGCTCCGCCCTCTACTCTGACTTCCCAAAATTGGATTGCTCCATCTGACCACCAGAAAGCTCAGATCAATGTCCCGTTCCTGACTCTGGATGAGTGTGAAGCCTTGGAGTGGCACCTGCTGCAGAGGCAGCTCCAGCTTCAGTGGGGCTCGCCAGGTGGTTTCCAGAGAGATCAGCACGCCCAGAGCCCCGTGCAGTATAAGACCTGTGACAATGCCCAGCCTTCTGAGACTGTGAAGACTTCTTGGCCAGGGCAGCCCGTCTCAGTCTTCACAAGGGAACTACTCTTCCCACAGCATGCCAGGAGGCTGCTGGATTTCCACCTCCAGAGGCAGTTGATTCACCATCGCTGGGGCCTGCCCCAGAAGATCCAGCAGTCCATCCAGTTGCTCCTGTCCCCCGCTGACCAGCAGACTATGTCCTGGAGCAGCACAGCACTAGACAGTGTGAATATCCCCCAACTTACAGCTCTAGAGGCCACTGGGGCTGAAGATCCATTCTCACCCCCTGTGGACCCAGTGTCAGTCCCTAGGCCACACATGTTTGACCAGGCCAAGGCAATACTGCAGAGCCACATCGACTCCAAATGTGGGCAGATTCACCAGTGCAATGTCCCTGCCTATGTATGTAACTCTTGGGAGTGCATAATTCCTGGGGGCCTGGAAGTGGCTCCCTTCACCTGCATCCCAGAAAGCAAGCCCCTGGAACTGCCAGCAGCAGCTGACCCAGACCTACAACAGAAACTTATGCCCTTGATGCCAGCAGCCCTTGATCAGCAGCAACAGGCCTCACCTGTTGTGATTGAACATTCTAAGCTGCCCCGAAAGCTGTCCGAGGGAGCCATTGAGAAGCTGGAGACAACTTTACGGCACAAGTATCTGGCCTTCTTGTCAGGGCTGCCCACTCTTTATTATGTGGCTCTCTCCAGGGCCATGGCCCCAGCAATCACTTGCCAAGCTATGATCACAGAGACGGTGCCTGGGCCTGTCCAATTCCCAACAGAACCTCTAGCTCAGATGACCTCACCTGAAGAGCAGAGTCTAAGTCCTAGGCCAGGCTTTCAAGATGCCAATGAGGCTTGTGCAGACATTGCAGATGAATTCCAGGCTGACATGCAGGTGGAAGGAAAAATTGAGATAGTGCCTCCAGAAAGCCAGACAGAGCCTGCGAGGCCCTACTTATTCAGGGAACCTGTCTTGGCCAAACTAAATTTCCATCTGAGAAAGAAGATCCTCGAGATACAACTGGGAATTCCCGTAAAGGCAAGGGAGTCCAGGGAACAAATGGTAGCAATCCCGGAGAACATATGCACACAGGAGTCTCCTGGGAGTCTGAACCACCAAGGAGAAGCACTGCTCCAGGAACTCCCGATCCCACCAGATACACCATGTGCCCCAGATCCAGAATGGCTCCGCTTCAAAGAACAGCTGGCCACTGAGTTAAAGGCAGTGCATCAGAAACAGAAGCAACTCGGTTCCAGTACAGTACCCCATGGTTCTGTCCACTGGGCCTCCAAAATCTCCCAACCCAGTGGGGACATGACAGAGGCCCAGGTGCTTTGTGTTCAGCTGGAGGCAAGTGTGAACAACCCCAGCCTGGAGGAGCCCTGTAGCCCCAAGCCCCAAAGCCCTGACAAGAGCAAGGACTCAGCCCAAGTACCCACGCTGACAGAAAAGAAAGACAAGCCAAGCAAACCCAAATCGGCCGGGGACCATGGAGAAGGGGATGCCGGGCTTGCGCTCTCCTCCACAAGAGAAAAAAGCTGCTCTGCTGAAGCCCAGAGACCAGAAGAGGTGCTTCTGAACAGGACACCCCGCAGCCCCTGGCAACGGAGACATCGCTTTCACCTTGGTGCTCCCTGTCAACACAGTCCCCAGCATCGCCCCCAGCCTAAACTCCCAGAACTATCTCCTGGAGTCCCCCAGGGGAAAGACTCTGAGAAGAATGACCTGAAAGACAGCCAAGCCAAGGGCAAAGTCATCCGCAAGCCAGCAAGGGTTCCTGAGAACGTCCAGCCCGTGGTGACCCAGAGGTCACGGGGCCAGCCTTTCCTGGGCCAGCTCACTCCGGGGAAGCCATTGCAAGGACAAACTTTACAAGGTTGGGTTTTGCAGGGGCAGGTGATGCCAGGCCCTACTCACAAGAGGCCCAGCCTTCCAGAATCTGGCCTGAGAAATAAGATGAAATCTTTTCTGCACTGTTTTAACCCCAAGACAAAAGGCAAAGGGCATAAGGAATCCATGTCCTCCACATCTGAGAAAGTGGCCAACATGAGAAAAGAAAACGTAGAAAAGAGCCTGACTCCAGGCAAAAGTCCCAAGGGACGAACTAAGACAGAGAAGATGAGAGGAGACCCGAAGGCCCAATTCTCCCCCGCTGAAAAGCAGGTGGGCCTGGCCTTCTTGGATGTTCCCCATTCCCCAGACAGTAAGCTCCGGCACCGCTCCCATTCCCATCAGGCCCACTCTGCCTCAGTCCTGGGCACTCCTCGCCACTGCCCTCGGCACTGTCCTCGAGTGGCTTGTGTCACCCAACCAGGGAACCCACCCTAACTTTCAACTCTCACCTCGTAGGGAAACACTGGTCTGCTCAAGTAGACCCAGTGCAATCAAGACTTTGTAGTCTTCCCAAGATTGGCATCCCTTGTGGAGGATGCTACGGCCATTTTCATTACTGTACAGGTGGGCAGAGCGCCACCCAAAATACACTCTATATCTCTCAGCAGAAAGTTGTCTGTCTTCTTTTCACTGTGGTGTGTTCAGGGAAGGCATAAGGGAGGCATAAATGTCCTTCCAATCTAGGAAAGGAGCTTTAGCCCACACTTAAGCTGGTCAGCATTCCACACAACACACACACACACACTCACTCACTCACTGAACTGTGAATTAAGGGACTTGAGCAGAGAAGGAAGGCCCTTGTCTAAGGTGCACTGAAGGTAAAAGTTAGGCTTGAATTCTGTTATGGTGTCCTTGGGCCCAGGGGAGCAATGTGGACGTGAGGATAGTGCTGTCAAGAAGGAGTGGCCAGGAATCCCACAGGCAAAATTTACTGGTGACTTCTATATATGCCCACAATTTGGAGGGGAGGTTTTTAGGGGAGTGCCAACCTTGAGAAGGTGCTTTATGTTTATCAACAGCATATGGCTAATATGACAAATGTCAAAGCAAATGATGGAATCTTCTCTCTCTGCTCTCTGTTGGCTATTGGTTAGATCTTTCTGGAGAACTCACCTGGGAGGCTGCTGTAGCTTTTTTGCCTATATCCCACCTCCACTGCCCATCAGGCTGCTGCATGGAATGAATGATACCTAGAATGAAGATCAAAGTAGACAGTAGACATGGAGAGGAGCTGGTCCCCCACCCCCAAGGGTAGGCAGGGAGAGAAGCAAGGAGGGAGAGCATGTAGATGGGGGTCTGAGTACCAGGGATAGAAGCTGATGTGTCCCTGAAGAGGGCATGATAAGAGAAAAGGCTGGTTTGCTACTCAAAAGAGTCTTGAGCCAGGAAGCCAGCACAATACCCAAGTGCTTTCAGGGAATGGAGGTAAATAAACTGAGTTTCAATCTGTTATCTATACTGTGATGAAGAGTGGTGACTTGAGCCTCCTTTTGTCCAAAGGCAATGCAAATTAATTCAAAATTTCTGAACACTCACCCTCCACCCCACAAAACTGTTTCCTAATGTCATGGATTGGTATAACTATAAATCCATGTTTTTGCTCAGCCCAAACATGAAGTTAGGCACTGTGTTCTAATCTTGATATATCTCAATTTTGCCCCCTGCTTTTATGTTTACTGCCTCTGCTTGTTAGCTTACTCATCCATTCTTTGCCTGACAATACAATAGTGTCTCATATCCCAGGGCTTAGGATAGTGGCTGGTGCATAATAATACCTTGATAGCACTAAATCCAAATTCTGGGCTGGGGAGACAGACAAATCATTACATTAGTATGATGAGTGCTGTGGAATAGGGAATTCTGTCATGGGATTACTGAAGCACTCAGCTGATGAGGACCCCAGAAAGGTTACAATAAAAATAACTTTGATTATGCCATACACCTTAAACTTACACAGTACTGTATGTCAATTATATCTCAAAACTAGAAGAAAAAAAAGTTACAAAAACCCCTTACATTTAATTAAAATATTTGCTTACTTACTATAGGAAACACAATAAAGACACTGGATTTGTACAGTGGAGCTCATGATTTCATGGGACTGTCTCACATGCCCAAATTGGTCTACTCAACATATATACTTGAATGTTCAATATTCACCTCAAACTATAGAACAGTGGACTCCTGATTCCCTGCACCCAACTGTCATCTAATTACACTTACAAAACATTGCTCCAATCACATTATTCACATCATTAGTTAATGGCAACTCCATCTTTCCAGTTTAGGACAAAAAATTTGGTGTCATCCTTGACACTTTTTCCCTAACCGTCCACATCCAATACATCCTGTTGTCTCTGCCTTCTGAAATGAATTCAGAACATGACCACTTCTCTAGCACTCTGCTGCTATGATTACTGCAGTGGCATCATAACTAATCTCCCAGCTTCTGCTTGAGGCTATAGTTCCAACAGTCTATTCTCAGCAGAAGCTGGATGGACCTCAGGGAAGGTCCTGGCTGTAGATAATTGGATAGAAAGATATATAGGTCAGATGATGGTGATGAAGGAGGAGAAAGAAATAGAAAGAAAAAAGGAAGAAAAAGAAAGAAAATTAGAAAGATATATAGATTAGATGATGAAGAAGGAGAAGAAAAAGAAATACAGAAAAGAAAGAAGGAAAACGAAAAAGGAAGAAGGAAAGAAAGGAAGAAAGAAAATGTAAAACCGTGGGACTGGATAAGATCACTAAGGCAGTGATTATAAATGACCAGGCTCTGGGACATCCCAACATTAAGAAATTGGAAGGGAAAGTAGGAACCAAGAAGCAGAGACTGAGAAGTAGTAGCCAGTGAGACAGGAAAATCAGGAGAGTGTGGCATACTGGAAGCCAAGAGGGAGAAGTATTTCAAGGAGAAAGTGACCAACTGCAAAAAAGTTGCTGATCAGCCAAGTAAGGTGAGGACTCACAGTTAAATTATATTAACAACACAAAGATCATTCTTGGCCTTGAGAAGAATAGACCCAGGTGAGAGACAGAGGTAAAGGTATGACTGGAGTGGGTTTGAGAGAGAGAGAGGAGGAGCAATTGGCAATAGCAAGTATAATCAACTGCTTTAGAAAGTTTTGTTCCACAGAGATGCAGAATATGAGGAAATAGCATCAAGAGAGTTTTTTAAAGGTAAATATAGCATGTTGGATGTCAATGGAAAAGATCCCTTTAAAAGGGATAAAATTGATGTTACAGGAGAGAAAGGGAGAACTCTAGAACAATGTCATGGTGCAAAGTAACAAGAGTGAGTCCCTGGGTTGAGGGGTTGGCCTTGGCTAAAAGCACAAACACTTCACTGGTGGTGAGAAGAGAGGTGACAATAATGAGGAGGGGCTGTGTGTATCATGAGAAGAACGGTTTCCCTACAATTAAGAGAGCAGGGCAGATACCTAAGGGGGTGAATGAGTAACAGGGAAGGACTGTGGCTGGGAGAGGGGCGACAATGAGAGCCAAAGCCAGAGAGAAAGAATTCTGGAAGTTACCATGGGAAGGTTTTTTATTAGGGCCTAAGAAGTCAGTAGCAGCATGTGAGCCCAGGTGGGCAGAAAAAATATTTGAAGTTGGTGATCACAAGTGTGAAGCAGGTGTTCTTGGAATATCGGGGGCAGGGATGGTAGAGAAAGCTCTAGATGAATGGAGTATGAAGAGGATGGGGCTTAAGACTGAGAAGAGGGGCGGGTATGGCACCCTGGTGTTCAGCCAGGGATGAGGGAGTTTGAGGGTGGGAGGACAGAGCTAGGAAGCAGAAAGACAGAGAGGCTGCCCTGAGTGGATGGGAGGGACCTCTGTTCTGGACACCTCATTTCTCCCAGAAGGTGGCACCTCTGCATTCCCACCTTCTGACCTACCACAGAGGAGCTGAGAGCCG